ATCGCTTACAGGATACCATATAATCCATCACCTCACTTCTCACCCTGGGTCAATGGGCTCTCTGCCAAAGTACATGCCATTCTATGACATTCGACGATATGCTTCCGTCTCAGGACGCTATGTATCAGGGGTAGCACAACATCCGAATCGGTGAAATTCCAGTTAATTATGCCAGCTTCATTCGTACTCACCCAGTCAAAGTGGCCCTGGAACATTTCCGATCAATTGTCTATCCTTTCGTCCTCAATGCTCCTTCCATCTAACAACTTTCGTAAAACACAATCTGGCCGTTGGAGTTGCACTAACATCCCGGGATGCAAATCGACGACGAGGCCATTGGCTCCAACCGGCATCCTCAGGACCTCAACTTTAGCCTGTGATCTTGACAGCCAATCAGCCAAGTAGTTCTCCTCCCCTGGTAGGCACTGCACTCTGATGTAGTAGGGGGTCTCCTCGAATTAAATGCAACAGATTATTTAAAACACAGCTTTGAAATTTTTCGCATCCACACTATGAAGATGGGTAGAAAAATTTTCCTTGGAAAGCATCAGCACATCAGAAGCCTCGCCATGCATAAAATCCCCTGATTCGATACACCATACTGTCGAGTATGAACTAATTCTTGGGATTTCCATCTTCCGAATTCAAACAGCCAGGTGAACTGGGGCATTTTTTGACCTGTAACAGCACACTACGAATTATGGTAGTAAAAAGAAGTCGATCACCACAATGCCAACTCAGTGGGATTGCCTGATCTGCCTTAACGCTTATGTGGGAGTTTCTGATGAGTAGATCAATTTAGTGCATAAGAGATATTGAAGGTGTGCCCTTGAAACTCATGCTCATCGGTCATACGACTAAAGGCTCACGCGTCCATATCCGGCGGCAACGACTAAGAATCTGCATTCTCCCCCGGAAGGTCAGGGCAGGCGTTGACTCGTTGGCCAGATATTATCTCAAAATCAGGAGAAATTATAACAGAACAGTGGTTAAACGAACCACGAATACCTGAGACGCCAAGTTACGTATTGACTGGCCACCAGAAATTCTATCTAGGAGTTTGTATATTGTTGAGTCATTGGACAACCGGACGCGCCGTGAAATGGAATTCCTATTTTAGCCCCAGCGCATTTTGTGATTTTCTTGCTGTTCACCTGACCTGCTCTGGTGCGCTCAATTATTCGCTCACAGACATCGCTCAGGAATGAACCTTAAATCAGTGTTTAGTGTCGAACATAGTTCGCACTTGTGACCCAGTTCCGCAAATAAACAAATAACCAAATGTTCGTGACCTCTTTGGAGGAGCCGTACTCAATATGAGCTCTTTTCTGCCGAAACACAGCTTTTTTTTCGATCGCTTTGGGTACGCCTAGACAAGGACCCAACGGAACGAAGAATGACAGGTGCGCTCAGTCTGACACTCAGTTTACAGCCGGGTGTCTCACTGTCATCGGCATAGGAAGCATTATCACCGCGGAAGGCCAATACTCCTGAAAGAATTGCGCTTGGCTTGAATGACATATCAGCAACCAGGTGATCAATAACCAGCAAAGTCACGCGAGTTGGCAATGTCTTGATATAATTTCAGTGCCCTTACCGGTCAAATAAAATGCATTTCACCGGTCTAGTCGAGATGCCGAGGCCGGATTCGAAACACCATCAGTAATTTTGAGCCCCAACCACCCAATCATTCTTAGTTCCTCAGCCAATGTAACTTTCAAAGACAGCTTTCTACGGCGAGGCTGAAGTTTAACCTGGGTCCTGGAGAGAGTCTCACAACAAGAACGCGAGTGACATCGGGTACCAACCATACCTTGCAGCGTCTCCAACGTGGGTTAGTTTCAAAAAAGACTTGTGAATCTCTGTGAATGTTGCGAGAGGTTTTAAGGCTACCAATTTATACAGCCAATGTTTATCGCTTTACACAAAAGTTTTCTATGTTCAACGCTGGGTGTATTGAAATCTTGGGTGCAACTACTGGTCAGTCGCGGTTACTGCTCAACCAGATGACGGGTTTTTGTTAGTATTTATTTGTCTCATTTTTCGTTCTGAGAATTTGACAAGAGCCTGCAATTCTTGCGCTGGTCATCGAAACATCAACTGAAGCATTGCACACTACTTACACTGCTTGACTAGGTTAAAAGTGGATCGATTAGGGTATTCGGTTTCGGACGTCATCTGGTTTTTTTCAGAATTTTGGTAACCACATCCGTGACTGCGGCGAGATAAAATATCGCAAAGCCTTGTGTGTGCTATTTTTATCCTTGTGGCATTGGTTAGTTATCGGCGCTCACGATATCGCTTTTGGGGCAGTCATTATTTGGAAAATATCACGTTGCAACGTAGCAACACAAAGCTTACTTGGAAATCACACTCTTTTTCGTACACCAGTCTCCTCTTAAGTTAACGTGACCTTTGTACCAATTGACGTCATCGTTTAGCCCCTGCCCCATACATTATACTGTGGTTCGGCAGTGAAACGGTAGACAATGTTCAGTGACTTGATACACTTCGGTGATGAGGAGAATTACGAAACTTTGTGAATATGCACGTGGTTTATTTGGTGATAGGGCATGTTCCAGCCGAGGCCCACATTTATGCTACCAGTGAAATAACCGCGTAAAATTCATCTTTGCATCACTGTCTCATCCCCGTAGAAAATGCGAGAATGAAAATCTTATATTTCAGAACCACACTCACCCAGTTGACAATTTATTCACTTTTTACTTCTCGGAACTCACTGTGTTACACGCAGATTTGGAATGAAACAAACAGCACCACGTGAAAACCTTCCAAAATAAGCGAGCTAATACATGTTTCAGAATGGTTTGGTAAAAAGCCGGTAAATTTTATTTTTGCTACGTTTCGCTTTTGACACAAAAGCTTCATCGGGCCATGTGAGTTGTTCTCCAAATTGGCTAGGATAAAAGACAGGCGGAGAACCAGTAAGTGAGCCCCGTCCCTATCGTCAAGCTATGTCGTCTTCGAATGTGAATTCAGGCTCTTGTCGGCTATTTTGGTTGTCAAAATCTCACTTTGGTGGACTGGAGAGTTTCAAATGTTGTGCCACAAGGTTGATTAGAATCTCTCGACAGGCGAGCTTAAAACACATTCTGAGGGCCTTCACATCTACCTCACCTAAATATCCGATGAAGTTCTAAAGAGCCGTATGAGAACATATTCAAAGTCGATGGGGCTGCGTCTCTAGCACGGTTTGAGTGAACTGGAAATAGATTGAAAATTGAGCAGTATGTTTGAGTCGACAGACCACACAAAAACTGCTCTACCTGTGTCCGCCGACTGGCCTACTTTGGTTGGTCCTGTGCATTTATCGTGCACTAATACTTCGGATGTGTGGAGGCTTCTAGATGAGTCCGCATGGTCCGAGAACCTCGACGGTTGTACCCAAATGCTTTCTTGTTTTACCGAACGATCTTTAGACGACTAGCTTGATGAAAAATCAACCCATGTGTCGTGACGATGGAAAACACGATAAGAAACAGCCGCGATTTATTATATTTGGCAAAATCAGGTAATAAGGGGTGTGTTCTATAAGAACTGATGTTGTGGACAGGGTCGATGAGAGTTTGAGCCTCGTATCCGGCTTTGCATAGCTCCATTAAAGGAGGTATATGCTGAGCCACTTCGAGAACCTGAAGACAGATTGATAACTGTATCTCAGCTAGGGAGTCATTCTGATCTTGGAAGCGAAGATTCACCTAGCACGAGGAAGACTTAGGATCCTACACTCCGAACACAGGTTTGTACTAATGATTACGAATGCTTTCAAACGAACACGAAGGTGTGTTTACACAAGATTCATCCTAACGTCCATCAACTCACGTCCATCAACAAAAAAAATCAGCTTTCCCGAGAAAGTGGCCATTATGCTAAACAGTGGGGGAGATTATCAGTGAGGCTCACTGAATGTCAAGTGAATAATGATTCCGCGAATAAAAATGGTATTTATGAGAGAAGTGGCTGAGTATCGGCATATAAGATTTCGGGACAATTCGAAGCGTTTTGATATAAAGTCGCACGATGCTAGTGAAGAATACGCGCAATTTTCCCACTACGTAGCAGATGATTGAACAAGTGTGGACTCTACCGGTTTCGCCGTCAGTTTTATGGTCTACTTGAACCCGACATGTTTTGACAAATTCTCTCGATTATTAACGAATTTGGATTCGACAGCGGGATACAAGTAAAAACTGTTCGCTTCAACTGAATGATCATCTAGTACACAAGTCTCATGGTATCTCAGAAAGTGCGCCTAATTAATGATCCTTAAGAAAGATGACTGAAAAGTAACTCCAGGAACTTGGGAACAATATGTCACTATGTGATTTGGTTAATGTGATTGAAGGATGATTGGTGTTATATCCAGTCTAACTGACAGCTAGTCGCACTACTGATCAGCCGTTCTTGGCCCAACGTTTACCAGGTTCTTCGGTAGGCGAATTAAGGAGGGTTTCCTCTTATAAAATGCAACAGGTTATTTAAAAGCTGATCGAAATAGGTTCGTTTGAAAGCTTCAGCGCATCAAAAGTCTCGGCAATCATAACATCTGATTCAATACACCATACCGTCTGAAACGTGGGTTATTTTCAAACAATAATTGTAAATATCCGTGACCGTTGGGAGAAGCTTAGGTGCTACGAATAAAGCTTTCTATGTTCAAACCAAGGTCTCATGAAATCTCGGATGTGTAACTACGGGTCGGTCGTGGTTACTGCTCACCCAGATGTCGAGTCTTTGTTAGTATTTGTTCGTCTAAATTTTGCCACCTTTCTGAAAGTGATTGCAATTTTGTTGCGCGGGTCATCGAAACATCAAATTAATCATTGTAAACTACTTACAATGTTTGAGCAGGGGAATAAGTGGACTAATTTGGGTACTCAGTTTCGCACGTCGTCGAGTTTTCAAAAAATTCCGTAACTACATCGGCGGTTGCGGCGGGGCGAGTTATCGCAATTCCTTTTATGTACTAAATTATTTCCATGTGGGATTGGTTTAATACCGCACACATCTCAACCATTAGCGTTATTCTCGCAGAAGATGCAGCCCGCCCAAACGCGTTACAGTACTCTTGGTCACGAATTACTCGCAATTTACCTTGCTATTCGC